ACCCATGACCGGTCAAAGGAAGAGACCAGATAGTTGACCGGTCAATCTTGAAAGTTGAAGAGAAGGACTTTAATCATCAGCTAGAGGACACTCAAATCGGTCAAAAGATGACCGGTATACTTTAGAAAAGTATACCGGTCAAACTATTACATGGTTCCATTCATCCTTGTTGGTGGGTGTATTCCACCCATGACCGGTCAAAGGAGAAGACCAAATAGTTGACCGGTCAATCTTGAAAATTCTGGAAAGGGAGACTTTAATCGTCAGCAAGTGGGTATTTGATCGGTCCGAATTTGACCGGTGTACTTCGGGAAAAAGTATACCGGTCAAACTACTTATCACTCCATTCATTCCCTAAGTACGATAAACTCATCCCTCAGAAATTACCCGGTGTAGTTTCTAGGGTTGGAAAGTGTCGGCAGAGGAGAATCTACGAGGGCTTGGCGTGTAGCGACCCGTGTCAGTAGAGGACAACTGGAGATGCTGAAGAATCCATCCAAGGCACTACCCGACAAAGGGAATAATCCCCCTCACAAGGCGACAAGGCAGCTCGAGGACGAAACCAGTCACCTCGCACCACATCAGCAGCATGCCCCCACGTGGGCGCACGTGGTCCTGTCCCCTTAGCCTAGTATAAATACTCATGTAAACCTCAGAAAGGGGGATCCGAATTCACTCTCTCTAAACTCCCTTGTAAAAGCACCCGTGCATTCTCCGTTATAATATAAATTGGGCTACAGGTGTTCCACCTAAAGTCCTACCGGTCAATTTGCGTGTTTTTACCTTTCTTACTTTGCCAAATCAAGCGAACTATTCTAGACCCGGTCTAGTATAGTTTGACCGGTCAAGTAATTTACACCATCAGATAATTTTAGATTTAGATTTAAATAATTTTACATTTTTACCAATAACTATTATTAGGTGTTGTGTAGTGAAATGCGAACAATTACCTATCTGTGTTAAGGAGAAAATGTTTTTTTCCTTGTTTCACGAGACAGTGGCTAGGTGTTTCTATTTTGCAACAAAGGTAGTTGGTGAGGGAGTACATTCTTGATGTTCTTGAGCAACATTCACAGAAAACAAAGGAAGCTCCATCGATGTCACACCACCAACCTTTTGGACTTTTGGGTGCCCACACCTCCGGTGTTTTCGAAGCCTCTTCGTGACACGTCCAGGCGTACTGTTGGACCTCTCGCCGTTGTAAAAGTTTTCATGTAGTTTATTACTATATAAATTTTATTATAAAATTTTACTCCTAGAATCAATTAAATTGAATTGAAAATAAAGTCGGTCAAGCCTCATAACGCGTAACGGGAAGAACTTAGGTGGACAGAGGGAGTACTACTGTATTGAGTATTTGAGGGTATTCCCTACCAAGTACTCCCTCCGTCCCAAAAAGAATGGGACGGTTTGACTTTTTGGGAAATTAAGGGAGGAATATTTTGGTATTGACTTTCTAAAAATACCCTTAATGTGATGGGTAAAAGTAGGATGTGATGGGTAGATTATTAGAAAAAAGGTATGATGTGATAGGTGGGGTATGAAAAAGTAAGGGGTAAAAGTGGTTTTTAATAGAAATGTAACGAACTTTACGGGACGCAATTTTTTCTAAACGTAACAAACTTTTTGGGACGAAGGGAGTAAAATTACGTGGTTTATATCGTCATTGCTTGCGCTGCTCAGCATTATTACCTTTTCTTGTATACAACAAATTACTCATTATTTCGAATTTCTCCAAAGCAATACTAGGGTACCCTAAAAACAGTGTAACTTATTTGTACACTAGCAGAAAATAGACATATACGGAGTATAAATACTCAATGTATATTCCTGCATATACATGCAATGTTTGTATGTATCTATGAGCGGAGGAAGTATAATTTTTTCTCTCTCAATATTTATTTTTAACAATTTTTTTAAATTACATCTTAAATGGGAAAAAATAAATCTGGGATAGAGAGGGCATTATAAAAAAAATCACCCCTTACAATGATGGGTCAAAAAAAATAAAATACTCTCTCCGTCCGAAAATATTATTCCCATTTTACTATTTACGGTCTTCAATGTTGCACTTTGACCATTAATATTTATATTTGTACATAGATATATTTTATAATAATTTAATATTTCAAAACTACGTTTCAATATAAATATATTGATATTAAATTTATATCATAATATAATATATTTTTTCCACATATTGTAGTCAAAGTTTACAAATCAGCTAGTACTCGTTATTTTGTCTTCCGCGAAGCGCTGACTAAAACCAATCAAGTGACGCCACATAAGCATACGAAATAATGTCCAGGTTCAATGAACCTACAATGCCGCCTTCTCTTCAGGCCATTTTCTCCCCCCTTTATATCTCCCTCACGAGCGGTTCACTGAAATGCAGAGACCCCAAATAGCTTCCCATTTATTTCTAAGAAACAAATTAAGCTCATTCTTCGAAAATGGCGTTGGCTTTCAGCTCGTCCCCCGCACTTCGCGGCGCTTTCTCCGAACGGGCCAGAGGTATTTGCATATATTTCCATAAAGATCGTTTTTTTCTGTTCTTTCCGTCGCCAAATCTGACCATCCAGCCGTTTTGCAGCGTCTCCGACGGGGTATATTCCGGCGTCGGATCGTCCGTTTCATCCGCCGCGGGCGGCGGTTAGCTTTTCCCGAAAGCGCTCTGCTTTGAAGCCATTGAATGCCGAGCCGAGCCGCAACGAGGCGGTCGTTGCCTCCGCAGCCACCGTTGCCGCACCTCCTCGTACGATTTCATCTATTTAATGATGTTTTCGTCTGGGTTTTGTCCGGGGAATTGGAAATGACGAAGTTGCCCTTTTGAAATTGCAGAGACTGCTGAGGAAGTTGAGACAACAGAGGACTATGAAGAATTGGCTGATCAGCTGGAGAATGCTTCCCCCCTTGAGATTATGGATAGGGCCCTCCAGAAATTTGGGGACGGCATAGCCATTGCTTTCAGGTAATCGACAGGATCAGTATTGAAATTCAGATGAATTACCAAATATTTACTTGATTGAAACAAAAGAGAGTTTTTTTTTTAATTCAAAGAACTTGATTTTGGAACATAATGGGAAAGGGGATTAACAGAGGGATAGTTTACCACTTTCTTGTAATTATTGTTCTATGTGTCTTCATCAATCATGATTCCATTAGTTTCTTTAATTGTCATTAAGTGACTGCTTTTATACTACAAATTTCTTTATTTAACAATCCTTTATTTAAAAACGATCACTAATGATTTGTGTTGAGCTTTATTTCAAACATACCAGCTAAAAGCACTTTTTCTTTTGTGAAAAAAAGGAAATTTGCAAAGTTTTATGATGGATTGTTTATTGGGAAATGTTCTTAAGCCATTCTTCTGATTCAAATTAAAATATTTTACAGTGGTGCAGAGGATGTGGCTCTGATCGAGTATGCCCGGCTTACGGGCAGACCATTCAGAGTGTTTAGCCTCGACACCGGGAGATTAAACCCCGAGACTTACAAGTTCTTCGACGCAGTCGAGAAACATTACAACATCCACATAGAATACATGTTTTCTGATTCTGCGGAAGTCCAGGCTCTTGTCAGGAGCAAAGGGCTCTTCTCGTTCTACCAGGACGGTCACCAGGAGTGCTGCCGTGTGAGGAAGGTGAAGCCGTTGAGGAGGGCATTAAAGGGATTGCGCGCCTGGATCACCGGTCAACGCAAAGACCAATCCCCGGGAACAAGAGCTGATGTCCCGGTCGTCCAGGTTGACCCTTCCTTTGAAGGGTTGGAAGGCGGGCAGGGCAGTTTGGTCAAGTGGAACCCGGTGGCAAACGTGACCGGGAATGACATATGGAACTTCCTCAGAGCCATGAATGTGCCCGTGAATTCCTTGCACTCTCAGGGCTACATCTCCATCGGGTGCGAGCCCTGCACCAGGCCTGTCCTTCCCGGTCAGCACGAGCGGGAAGGGAGGTGGTGGTGGGAAGATGCCATGGCTAAGGAATGTGGTTTGCACAAAGGCAACCTAAAGGACAATGGAAGCTTGAACGGGGTCGGGAACGCTAGCGTCCATGGAAATGGGGCCCCACTCGAGGAAAAAGACATTTTTGACACCAAACACATTGTGAAGTTGTCCCGGCCCGGAATAGAGAACATGTTGAGAATGGATGAGAGGAAGGAGCCTTGGCTCGTCGTTCTCTATGCGCCCTGGTGCAAATTCTGTCAGGTATTACAAACTTGAACTTTTGGTTGACGAGATTCATTATTAGTCGTGAGTTTCATTACTTCTAACAAGATGTTTGAGCTTTTGGTTGAGTTAACTGGTTATTCACATCCAGGGCATGGAAGAATCATATGTTGAGTTGGCGGGGAAGCTGGCGCAGCTTGGGGTGAAGGTTGCGAAATTCAGGGCGGACGGGGAGCAGAAGGAATTCGCGAAGAAAGAGTTGCAGCTCGGAAGCTTCCCGACAATACTTTTCTTCCCCAAACATTCCTCACAAGCTATAAAGTATCCATCGGAGAAGAGGGATGTGGAGTCCTTAATGGCTTTTGTGAATGCCTTGAGATGATTTTTAGTACTTATTTGGTGTAATGTATATTTCATGTACCGCTTGTTTTTATCTTTCATTGGTTGAAGAAGCGTCATAAGGGGAACAGAAAGTGTTTTGAAACATGGGAACTTTGGCTATTGAATCGTGAGAGAACGTAAAGTGTGTTTAAGAACCAAACACCTCTCTGCCCACACTCCAACCCCCACTTCGCTCCTAAACGCCGATTTGGGCCATCCAAGTCGGTGTTTTAGGAGGGTTCGAATGGGGTGTAAGAGTACATGGTGGTTACCAACAGAGCTGCTAGGTGAAGGGAGTCATAAAATAAACTTGGTTTCAAGGTCAAAAAGAGCATTTTGTTAAAAATTAGAATAAAGGTTCTACAAAACAAAATGTGATAAAAAAATAATTTTGTCAAATACCTAAAAAAAGGACACAACTAAACAAAAATTATCAAGAGACTCAAAATGGTAAAAGTATAAATTATTTTGGGATAGAGGACATATAAACTAGGATTTAAATTTTTATACTGATATATGCAAAATTTATGTCGGTGGGTGTTGCAGAGTTTGCAAGTCAAGAAGTTTCTAAGAATACTCAAGTTTAATTCCTTGCAACAATTATGTTAAACATTGATTCTCTGTAAATATCACTTGTAGGCTCTACTCTTTTTTCACCAATCCGTGTTTAAAATTTAATATACCTTGTTTTAAATGATCGTCAAACTAATTTTAAGTCACTGATTTAACATTGGGCCTTAAGTCACGAAAATGAGCAGTCTACACGTTGATTTCGACCTCGGAAAAGAACACGCTTCGCACATTGATAGGTGGGTTGTGACTGCTTTTAGAATGGGCGTTGAGGAAGTTCGCCTTTATTTCCCACCTCATTTCGATTCAAGTCGTGAGCTGTATTCGTTCCCTTGTTATGATCTCGTGGAGGAGGAGGACTTTGACAAGACATCATCTTCTTCTTTGAAATGTTTGTGCCTGAGATGTTGCAATTTACATCTTTCTCCTCCTAGATGTAAAAGTTTGTTAAGTCGTTTAACGATGCTCGACTTGTGTCGTGTCCCTTTACACGAGAGTGGAGTGAGGTGTATCCTGTCGGGTGGTTTGAATGATCTCACATCACTTACATTGTCTCTGTGCTGCTTGCCTGGAGTACTTTTCATTGATAACGGTGAGCTCCCTTGCTTGAAGAAACTAACCGTCGATGACAGATCGATAACAGTCAAGCTGAATTGCCCTAATCTTGAGTCATTTAAATATTGTGGAGATTCAGCAGAGATGATCTTTGCCCATGTCCCGAAATTGAGAAAAGTGGACATATTGTTCTCGGTCGCTATGCACCCGTGCTCGGCGATATTGGATAACCTCACCAGAAATGTTCCCCAACTTGAATCTTTATCCCTTGGCATGAATACTGAGGTTAATAATTATTGTAACACAGTAGTAAGCTAGCTAGCGTCGTTTTCAATTTAAATCGCTCGTATTTCCCCCTGCCCAAACACACACTATCTATTCATTAATCACCTGCAGGTAATACTCCCAATGTCTGGACATCTTACTAGGTCGTGTCTAAGGAAGCTCGATCTACACGTTTGGATCCCATTGGGTTTTGATGTTTTAAGTATCATTTACATGTTAAATGCTTCTCCATTCCTCGAGATATTGAATCTAAAGGTTGGTTGGTCTTCCATGCTTTCTAGTTTTTTTTTTTTACAATGACGCATTTTTTTAAATCTTTTTTTTATATCGACAGGTTTGTCTTCGTGCAGGCACCCTAGAGAGACAAGGAGGAGAATATGGCAATTGCTCACATTTTCGGTTGAAAGAAGCCAAAATTGAAGGATTTAGTTTTCGTTTAAACACATTGATACTTGTATTATGCTTGCTCAGGAAAGCTGTGGCTCTCGAGCACATGATCATTAAAACCATAAATGGGTGTTCAAAGACAAAACAGACGTTGACATCACTTCTGCAGAAGAATATCATCACTACAAGGGCACAAGTGATAATCCAATGATTTTCAATTTGACTGCGAGAAGATCGAAGACGATGCAGCAGATTATTATGTTGTTTTTTATTTCTTCAACTACTGTCTGACCTGTATATATTATAGACTAGTTATTTGTGCCATCATCTGCTTGATAATGTTTTATATATTTCCACCTACTTTGTATAAACTAATTGTGTGATTAGGAGGTGAGAAAAGGATGTTCCAAAGCAGCCTCGGCAGAAATTCTCTTTGTCGGATCATAGCAAAGCAGCTTCTGAAATATAAAAAAAAAAAAGGCAGCGCGGTTAACCCTTACTTTGTTATCAATATTGTTAGCATGATGAATAGGTTTGATCTAGCTCACCCAAAGAAGATCATTTCCCAGAGGACCAATATCAGGAATGATTTCAGCAGGCTAAAAAAAAATGTGTGAAAAAAGAGAGATGTAATAAAGCTATAACCACTTTTTAAAAAAATTACAGTACTTTCTTTCAAGAATTAAGTATGGCTTATAATACACCTGAGGATACAAGGGCATCTGTTGTGGGAAATAAGGAAGGCAGGACACTCCTGGCCAGCTTTCTTCTGTAGGAGTTCCAAGTTTCCTTCAAAGAAAAGCAACAATATCAGTTAGTTACACACAAACTCCAATTGATACTCGGCACAATACTGAACGGAGAATTGAAAACTTACTGGAAAATTCGATGTATTATACTCGACTCCATTTCAATTCCAGAGTTTTGATCCTCTTGAAAAAGTGGTTTTAGTTCATAAAACCCGGCATATATACACCCGACTGACCAAATATCCACTGCTGGGGTGTAACCTTCAGAGCCAAGTAACATTTCTGGTGCTTTGTAGAGAGTGGTGGCCTAGCAGGGAAGGGTTATAAACACACAATTCAACTTTTACCATGATTAAATACTAAGCATGTACATTGACATAATTGAAGATTTCAACACAATGATTGTTACATTGAAGGGAAAAGTGAACCTGTGGGGTAAGATTAACATCAGTTAGGAACCACTCTCTAGCACATCCAAAGTCAGCCAACTTCAGTTTCCCATTAGCAATAAGTATGTTCTCTGGTTTCAAATCTCGATGAATTATGTTTCGATTGTGAAGATAAGCAACAGCAGCTAACATTTGTTTAAGCAACCCCTATAAAATAGAAAGTGACACTTTTAACAATCAAAACTTGAAATACTTAATACTACGGGTAATTAAATATTATTGTTGTTTGTTTACCTCTGGATGGGCAGGTAACGCTTTCAGTTCCATGAAGTCATTCAAAACTCCGAATGTGTGTTCCATTACCATGCAGATTGCATTTTTGTGGTAAAACACATGCTCCATCCTAAAAATGAACAATACAAGCATGAAAACCAAAAAAATGTACTAAACATTTATGCAATTATTAAGCTTGCATAGGTTATAGTTAAGGTAGGTGACCCTGACAAGACAAGTAAATTAGGATTGAGGGAGTTATGCAAGTTTCATATTCATATACATTGTGAGTGAATATAGTATAACATACCTTACTATATTCTCATGTTGAACAGTGTACAATATAGAGAGCTCTCTTGCTACACCTTTTGTAACTTCGTTATCCATCAATTTGATCACTTTCATGGCATATAAATATGGAGATGCTGCATTCATCACCAGATACACACTTCCACAAGTGCCATATCCAAGAGCGCCTAAAATTGTATATCCACGAACCACTCCCTTGAAAAAAGAAATAAAAACAATATAAAAGGCACACAACTGATAAAAGCCCTAAGAGTAACTGACCAAATGTGTGGGTGTTCCTATGAAGAACCCCTTATTACAGAGTTCCTTCGAACTTTTGTCCTATTGAGCCGCTTACCCTACACTAAAACGCTAGTTACACTTTCGCTTCGAATAACAGAAATTTAGTTATTAGTAAAGCCGAAGTAAATGAGAGACCTGTTTTTAAAAAATTGCTAGTAAAGCTGAAGTAAATGACGGGCCTACTTAAAACCTCAAGCTCGCGTACGGTGTTATCCAATAAAAAGAGAAACCTGCCATACCACTAGTGTATTGAAAGATTTTTCTTTAGACTTTATTGAGTTGGTCGAGCTAAAACAAAACAAACAAGAAGGAAATGCTATAACTAAATTATATTCGAATAACCATATATGAGGTATTTATGGGACAAAAAAAGCAATCCAAAAAGAACAATAGCTAGCAAACAGACAAAGATGCTTTAAAATCAACTGCAATGCCATAAAAAACTTAAGGGAAGTGTATGACACACACACACCTTCAGTTCATTTTCATCATCAGGAATGCATTGGTTGCTCTTCCCTTAAAATATTTTGTTCAGTTCCCTGATGATTGTTGAGTGTTACTTTAAAGTCCCACATCGGCGGTATAGGAAAATTGAGGAGGGATTGGAGCCTATAAATAAAGAGGAGATATAGGCTTCCATCACACAACACAATCCTTCAATCTATATAATTGTGTATTAGATTTTAGGTTGTGAGTGTCAAATATTGGAGAGGGTTTGTAATTTTTCCGTGCAAAAATAACTAGTGAGATTTTATCCAAGAGGGGGTCGTGGAGTAGGTCTTGAGGTGCCGAACCACGTTAAAAATTTGTGTGCTCTCTTTTATTTTCTTTCCATTTATTTGCAGTAGGGGGGCCTAACAAGTGGTATCGAAGCCAAGGTGCAGAGCCCGGGTGATCTAGTAATTATAATTCTTAGTATGCTCTGTGGTTGCAGCTTTGACTGATCTTCCACATCAGAAAAGAATTAATAATTACAGAGTTGCAGTCTAGGGAGGAAGGAGATAGAGCAAGGAGCAAGAGGAGGGAGTGCCACTTCAGCGGAGGAGGTGGTGGTCCAGTCAGCAGAGGTGGGTCCGTGAGTGCCACGTCAGTAGTTTGTGGGTCCGAGTGCCACGTCATCATCCAGTCAGCACCACGTCAGCAAGTCCAGTCATCAGTGGGTCCCATTGCCACGTCAGCAGGTCCAGTCATTGTGTGGGTCCCGCTGGTGACTTTCGGAGAGAAGTTGGTCCTGACTAATTTTGACGTCCTGAATCCATTTTTGAGGCCAGTTTCCTCAAATTTGGATTGTTTGGTATTGGTTGATTGCTGCTTGAGTGGAACTATGACTACCTTGAAGTTTGAAGTTCCGTTATTTGATGGAAGAGCGGACTTCATGTTGTGGCAATGCACGATTCAAGACTATTTGGTCCAGCAAGGTCTTGATTTAGCATTGCAAGATGAGAAGCCAAGTGATATGAAAGAATCAGAGTGGAGTACAATCCAGAAGAAGGCTGTCAGCACAATTCGGTTGGCACTGTCCCCACAGATTAAAGTGACAGTGCTGAAAGAGACATCACCAAAGAAGCTGTGGGAAACGTTGGAGAGCAAGTTTGCGTCGAAGACACTTACTAACCGGTTGATGATGAGGATGGACTTGTACTCACTGAAGATGGAAGAGGGAGGTAGCATAATTGATCACATCAACAAGTTTAATGAGCAAGTATCAAGGTTGTTAAATGCAGGGGAGACTATCAAGGATGAAGAGCAAGGGCTGCTTCTACTGGCTTCACTACCAAAATCCTTTAAGCCGTTTGTGCAGTCAATGATAG